TTAGCGCCGTTCAGTGTTCAGACACTGGCAGCCATTAGCGCCGTTCAGTGTTCAGACACTGGCAGCCATTAGCGCCGTTCAGTGTTCAGATAACGGCAGCCGCTAGTACCATTCAGAAACCTGCACCCACTGGCACCGTTTAGTGTTCAGATACCGGCAGCTGCTAGTGCCGTTCAATGTTTAGATACCGGCAGCTTCTTGCACCGTTCAGTGTTTAGATACCGGCAGCTTCTCGCACCGTTCAGTGTTCAGATGCTGAAGGCCGCTAGCGGTGTTTAGACACCCGGACCAGCTAACACTGATCAGGGTCTGACATACTGTACGTGCTCATGCAGAAGGACCATCCACAGACCACAGGTGAACCCGTGTGGTCAGAATACTGGATAAATAATGGCCCCAAATGGCGAGTGAACATTTTGACAAGGCTTTGCAAAAGAGCGTGATATTACCATAGAATAATAGAATATTATTACAACAATAATAGAAATGCTTACAACAAATAATAATTAAAAACCCAATACATTTTCTGCACAAGTAGCTAACTGTTTCAGATCTGTTACTGAATGTCTGCATTAGTCTATTCAGATGTTGTCCTTGTCAATAACAGACATCTTTCTCAAAGCTGCCAACTCATGAATCCTGTGTCATTCTATCACAATATCTCCCTCCAATTTCCTCTTCCTCCATCATCCATCACAATCTCTCCACTCATTATTTTAATCTCTCTCGTGTGCTTACTGGAAAGACTGATTCACTGCTCAGTAAAGTGAGATGACAGCCACCGTACTGATGACCTCGGCTGCTTTGTCAAATTCTCAAGAACACCTGTGGAAACCGGGCATCTGTTATTTCTGCCTGCCTAACCTGTAGAGAGAGAAACCACACACCTCTCCTGCAATTACATCACATACCTGCCAATCAATAAGAGCCTTTACATACAGCCTTTTTCACCTTAACCTTGCACCAACATCTTTTTATGCCTTTCAGTCCTACTGTATATAGAAGTGCAGTACTTGCCCCTCAGAATACAAGCCAGTTCTGCCCTTTATCTTGTGCATGTTGTGTTTTAATGCAATATGCATTACGTTAGCTCATAATGATGTACTGTTGCTCTCTCAGCAACAGCTAAACACATCAAACCAAGGTTGGCATGGTTATAGACTCTGGCCCTTGTGACCAACTCCAACGATAAGGAGTGCTTACATTTTCACCCATTTCACTTTCTGGGGTCTAAGAAACCACTATCTGTAAAGAGAATGCTGCTTCATGCCTGGTCTCTTCCATGGGGTGGGGGCTGCAGCTGGGGACTGGTGTTTTAGAATCACACCTGCTTTCCCACAACCGGGCCCCTCAAAGTTTGTCATCGGCAGTGAAACTCCTAAGGAGCTTTAAAGTATTCGCAAGCAGCCTTCTTTCTTCATTTTCATATGCATAAGCAGCCATCGAAAAAGTCAGGTGGTTTGCACAAAATACAAAATATGACGAGGATCAAGAACTCAATTTTGAGAAATAACCTCACAATGACACATGACCAAGACTGCTTGCTTCTGCAAGATCTCAGAGATGAAAATCAATGAACAAGGCTATGTAGAGTTGCAAGAAGTCAGAGCTCAGTTCAGCAAAGGATTGAAATGAGTTTTAATTTATGAAAAGGGCCAATTTCCAGAGTGTACACAACAAATACACACATAATGTAACTTCCTGAAATGCTCTGCACCCATACATACATAGTAGAAAGGTTACTTCTGACCATCCCTGCCTTCCAGTTCTCTGAAACATCACACATAACACATGTCTGTCTCCCCAAAAAGAGCGAATTCAAAATGAACCCTTTCACACACACAGGTCACATTCTACAGCTACAACTGTCTCTGATATCCAGCACATCATTAGCATCCTGTGGACATGCCTCTATACCATATGCGCAACTTGCTGTGAGCAGGGTGCTGGTGCAGCCAGGTGCTGGACTGGAGGGTGTGGGCAGGGAGGGGGCTGTTACAGCCTGGTGCTTACCTCATGGATGTGGACAGGAGAGCTGGTACAGCCAGGTGCTCGGTAAGCGTTCCTCTCAATCTCGGCTGTTGGCGTCTTGGAGCGTCCAGGCAGCACTGCCCCAGAGAACAGCTTGCGCACAGCTGGTGTCGCTGCAGGACACATAGTACAGAGCAAAGTGCCAAGATAAGGGGACCAAACCTGCTGTCTCATTGGTTTTAAGCCTGCAGAATCAGTCACATGTAATAGTCTTTTCTTTCAGGAACTGGTTATAAATGACAAATATCTGCACTCAATTAATAAGCATGCAAATAATCATTAGAATGGTTCATTTTCTACTAGGCTGACACTGTCACAGATAAGTAGTAAGAGGTTTAGATATCAGTTTACAGGCATTAAACAGTTTATTTGTCTCTCTGGTTAATAACAAGGCCAGTGGTGGCTTAGCTGCGTTACCGTTCAGAAGCCTTGAGCTCACCTGCACCTGGTTTGCTGTAGGCCTGTGGGCTGGAGTTCTGCCAGGGCCTGGGAGTGCTAGGAGCCTGCAGACTCGCCTGGTAGAGGGAGTCCAGCTCCGAGAGCTCCTCACTGGGGGAGCCGCATGCGTCCCTCTGGGTGTGGTCTGTGGGTGGGGAAGGCTGGGAGCTGTAATAGCGCGTGACATTCTCAGCCCAGCGCTCCACCGGTATTGGAGGGCCTAGCACTGCCGGCTCTCGTGGAGACGAGGGGCAACCTGGTTTGCCTGTGGCGAGGTAGCTGTGAGGGTGGGGATCGGGACCTCTAAAGGAAGCTGCTTCGATTCCATCAGGTCTGTCCAGGCTCCAGGAAGACCAGTTCTGGGGAGCAGGGGGTGGCGCAAGCCCAGGGTTGGAGGGAGTTAGGACAGGAGAGCCATCTTGAATATGGGCTGCGAGCAGCTGTCGGGTCGGAGATCTGGGATAGCCCGTGAAGAGCTCCTTGTGGCTTTGTCCCCGCTCCTGTAAGCTGAGCTCAGCAGATGGAGATGTCCAGGAGTCGGCAGCAGACCAGCTGGGAGGGGAGGGAGACAACGTGTGGGGTACTGGTGCGGCACATGTCCCAGACACGCCTTGGTGAGATGGGAGTGCCAGGCCACGGCTCTCCCCTTCGCCGGCAGGCTGTTCCCTGCTGTCCAGGGGCAGCGTGGGTAAGGAAACAGCATTGTATTTGTGTATTGGCCTTACTCGCAAGCCAGGCTTGCTCTGAGTGACACTGGAGAACTCCGCGCTGTCCCAGCGTTTCGGGGGGCTCTCCTGCTCCCCTTCCCCCTTCTTCTCCCATCCTCCTGGGCTGGAAGGAGGCGGAAGCCACTCAGAGCTGTCCCCCAGAGATCCTGGAGCATGGGCCTGCCCCGCAGGGAGGGGGAGGAAGGGAGACGAGTGTTTTGAGGGTTCAGGGTGCAGGTTCCGAGTAGTGGGAAGGGGCAATGCATGGAGAGGAGAGGGCGGGCAAATAGCGGCATCCTGGTCTGCTTCCTGGTCCTCTTCCTGAGTGGCCATCAGCAGTATTTGGAGCGGGACAGGCTGTTCACTGGGACAGAGAGACAAAAGGACACTCAGTGACCTACAAGGATCAACGTTAGCAAACAGAAACACTGCATTCACCTAATACATCCCAATCTGGTCTCCAGTGCAATACTGCCCACTTAGGTTCTTACCACTTGGTTTCTTATGAAAAGCTTTTAAACCAGTTTAAGGCACATTATATTTTAAATATAATTCATATTAAATATGTCCCTTATTATTCATTCAATTATTATTAGGATGCGCCACAACACTCCAATCAAACTCCATACAGGTAGAAACAGACTCTCTGCACCAGAGACCTCAACTGCAGAGCCTGTGACGACAGGGCCTACTGATTATAGTTCCCCACATTTGGAGAGATTTTTAACACTCATTAACTTCCACTCAGCTGAATAACACCGTATCCTGCAGAACTTAGCTGCCTTCTCACAAGTAAGCAAGGAGCTTGATCAATCAATGAAAACTGCTCGTCTGAAAAGGTGAAAGGTACTGTTTGTAGCATGTACCTTCATGATGGCTGATGACGACGGCCTGAATACTGCAGCTTATCACTTTCAGTACTGTGAGGCCGTGACATGCACAACACGTTCAAGAAAAAAACTCTTCTCCTTCTGAGCAGGTTGTGTTCCAGTGCTGCCAGCAGGGATCTGCCTTACTGATCCTTTAGAAACATCAGGCTTTAACTAAATATCATTCCTAACATACGGGCAATCTCTGTAGATTTATAATTTGTGTTCTTCTGTACTTTAATTTGGCAGCATTTATAAACATGAAAATCTCTCAAGAGATTTTGGAAGGGCCTTTAGCCCAGGCCCAGCTAGTTTTCCAGCCCTAACCTCCAGGTGACCGAAGGAGAAAGGGAACTTTGTGTTAATCAGGGGGTTCCTGGGTCTACAAAACCTTTTAGTGCTTATAATGAAAAACATCCTGATGTATTCGGGGGTAACTCAAATCATGTTCTCTCCTGGGAGATCAGTGTGGCTTATTTTAAACATAGAATTTAATTTGTGCTCCTCAAGAACATCTGGGCTCACTGGTCTTCTGATCTGAATCAAAGAAAAGTGACTTCCGTTTCACAGGTGTCCTGAAAAAGAACATGCCCCCTTGTACTTCCCAGATGGGCATGGTCTTACACACACCATACAGTTACTGGTACCTTTGTGACTGGGCCAGAGCGCCCCCTTGTGGACGTGTCTGTTCTTGCTGCTGCATGCGCTGCTGTAGGCTTCGAGCTCTCCTCATGCACTTTTGCAGCTTCTTATCAGCCACTGTTCTGCTATGAGTGTTAGCACTGCCCTCATGCATGGTAAGTCTTAGTTTAGCTACAATGCAAAGGAAAGAACAGCAGAAAAATAGAAACAAAACGCAAGAAAAAAAAGGCTGAGTTATGGGAGCATGCAACCACTGTTGTTACAGAACACAAAAAAACGCTATGTACTAAAAACATGAAAGGAAGAATCTCTACCCACACACGCCTGAGAAGGGTGTGCTGCATGAGGGGGAGAAATGGCTCAGACACCCTGAACTAGGCATGGAGGGCTGTGGATTAGATGCGTTTTACTTGATCATCTTGATTCTATTCAAAGTTGTTTTTTTTTTGCTACACTAGAACTACCATGTGTACAGGGAGATGGTAAAATTATAGACAAAAATGTTAAATAAAACAAGCTGCAAAGCCAATAGTAATGGTTTCTGGAACAAATAACATTAAGGTGGAGTGTGAAAGCACTTCTTGAATGCCTGGTCTGCACTGCTTTTGCTAGAAACAGCCAGTGTGTGTCGTGCCTGTTCACAGCCCTTGCTATCGAGCCCGGGCAGCAGGGAGATGTGCTCACTTCCAGGTCCTCAAGCAAGTGGACACAATGATCAGAGTCCATTTACATCTGTCACTGCCATTTCAAACATGGTGCACTCCCGGAGTCACAAGCCACACTCATTTCTGAGTGTGAAATGCACTACAGAGCAGGGGGTCTGCTGCCGCCGCCTGGGTGAGGGCTCAGAGCATACTCTAAATGCCAATGCATCATTCTCTTACATCGCTCTTGTAGAAGACATGCCTGGCTGCAAGCACAGCACTGCCTGAATATCTCTAAACACAATAACCAATGGTTAAACTGTTAAAATCTAAAATGTAAGCACAAGAGATGACAGACTGTGTCACTAGAAAGAGTACAGAGATTAAATCAGTGCGTTATGTTCCTTGGTTTTGTCTGTCTTTAGGGATTTTCATATTGCGTTTAAATCCTATTTCTGGTGTGACAGATGCTGTTTGTGCACTCAGAAACAAAAACATAGATGAGTTTTGTTCAGACAGACATATACTGTAGATCAATACTAGATTCTGAGACCCCACTCTATGCCTCTCTGATGGGAGAGGCAGAGCAGGACCTGGGGCCTGGGGAGCTACAGCACAGCGTGCAGGGCAGCTACAACCCCCCCAAGTCTTGCTACACAAAACAGCACCCATAGCTCAAGATCGCTGTGCCAAGAACATGTCAGCATTTTAAGATCCAGCTTTTCCATAACATCCAGTCACTTCCCCGGTGCAACCATCTGGCTGGCCCCATTAGTTGCCACAGCAACTTGTAAACAGCCTGTGGAGATGTTCCCCTCAATATTGGAGGGAAAGGCACACAGAATTATTTGTTTACCTGGATGGGAACCCTGGGCACACAATATAGAAAGGCCTGGATCTAGGCTGAGAACAATCTAGCAAGTGTTCTCTGACATTAATAATTCAAGCACACCTGCCCCCTGCCTTGTTTTTGAAAGGAAACAAGGCACTTGTGTTCAAATTCTTAAAGGCCGGAAGAAAATCCCACAGAAAAAGTTTGAACTCTAATACTTTTCAAGTTTTACTTTGATCTTTGAGGGAACAAACTTCAGGGGAAAACATCCAATTTCCTGCAGTAATGCATCTCTCTTTACAAATTCATTTATTTGAATTAAAATGTATTTAGAGAACTAAAGTTCAGTTATTAAACTGGAGAAATGTAATAGCTGTGTTTTGCACTAGCAGTTGTAGTTTTTCCAATTTGCTGCAGTAAATGATGAGAATGCATTATAAAGCAAACTAAAACTACCCTTCTTTGTGTCTGAGGTCTTAGAATTGAATCACTAATCTTCAAGTTCTAAACCAATCTCTTTTCATTGCTGTTTGGTTTTATCATGCTACTGTGGCTTAGGCCAGGTTGTCACATTAAATGAAACTTTTTTTTCAATTGTTGTCTTAAAAAATGTGTTAAAAAATGAAACATAAAAAGTGTCATTTAAATACAGTGCCTTGGAAAAATATTCACCTCCTTCCAATCCTGCCAATTCTCTTGCTTTTTCTGAATTAGAAAAGATGTACAGTATATACATTTTTAAAGTGTATGTTTAATGTCTTTGTATTCCTCTCAATAGGAGAATACATTATTACAGCTCTTAAGGCTTGTGTAAATAAAGTCTTTCCCCTAAGGTATCAACCTGACTTCAAACTCCTATTCCAATGACTCAGGTCCATGTCCTACAGCAGGGTGCACAGAATATTCCTCCAGTCTTTTGGAATGAGGAATGTATTCCTCATTACACAAGGAATTAATGCCATTACACAAGAACACAAGAGAATGCAATGCTATGAATGCAAGAGGAGGCCATTGGGCCCATCATACTCATTTGTTAGCTAACAGTTAATTAATCCCAGGATCTCATCCAACTGTTTCTTGAAAGAAGCCAGGGTATCAGCTTCAACTACAGGGCAGGGTGGCAGGTTCCACACTTCCACAACTCTTTGAGTAAAGAAGTGCCTCCTGTTCTCGGTTTTAAAAACACATCCCCACAGTTTCTACTTGTGTCTTCTGTTCTGTGCTTCCCTGTTTATTCTGATGTCCACAGGGTTGACTCTGTCAGAGGTTTGGTGATTTTGAACGCATCAAATTAAAGGCGCCCTTACAGTTTCCTCCTCACCACATCTGGAAGCACGACAGCAATAGGCATTGTGTTAGGCCCATTGCCCACGTCAGACAAACACAGACACCCACGGGGACAGACAGGCACGATCACGCACAGTTAGTGTAGTGGCAGTGGCAGCAGGCGGAGGCAGGTTAGGGTTACTTACACACAGCTTCGTTACAGACAGCGAGCGCTGCAGCCACGTCCTCGCCCTGCTCTAGCCGCAGGGACTGCTCTAACAGTGAGTCTGCCTCCTGCAGAGACCTCTCAAAGCTGTCACCCTTCCCTGCAGATAACACACCAACGGGGCTCTTTAAACAGAGGCCAGGAACACATTCTCAAAGCTCAGCTGGAGGGGGCTACCAGTTTTATAGGATGACTGTGTTTGTGGAGAGAATCAGGCATATCCTTGATGCTGCAACCTTTCTTCTTTAAGAATTTGGAATGACCAACTCTTTTTGTTATATCCACCAGATTGGGAATATCGGTTGTGTTTTTCGTGGCTGCAATCCCTGTGATCACTTGCGGGCAGAATGAAGAAGTGTAGGCTGACTCCTCCTGCCCACCTTTGAAGTAATCGGCACATCCCAGACAGCACAGCCCCGTACAGGAGAATCGGCACTCCCTGGAGAGTCGTGTCCCTCACTGACAGAACTGCAAACTTGCAAGAGCTCGGGACGCCATAGGGGTCATTGCGAGCGCCGGCCACCTAACGAATCTCTCTGTCAACTGACCCAGCTTGAACCCGTGATCACAGAAATCAGCTTGAGCATGAACCAGTCAGGAGGCCCCTTTGCACACTGCAGGCTTTGAGCCGCTACCCCGCCAGTCCAGCGTGAGAATGTGTGTGTTGGGTGAAAAGGGTGTTGACTGTAGATACCCAAGGAAGATGCCATCTCTCTGCATCTAGACCAGTGGTTCTCAACCAGATGCCCAGTCCTCAGACACTGTCCGGGGCATCTCCATGAAAAAAGAGAAACTTCTCACCCCAAGTTTAGTAGCAGGTACAACTGACACAGGCACTGTGGTTCTGCTTTTAATGTATTATAAATGGCAACATCATTTCCATTAAATTCAGCTGATTTCCCAAAATGAGACCAGAAGAGGTTGAGAAGTCCCGATCCAGATGAAACCCAAGTCAGCAGTGTACAATGCAGAGCACTCCCATTCAGATCTCAGCTGTCACAACCGTTTGAACCCAAGCACAGAACACAGCACACACTGAAAAAGCCATCTCCAGCAGCAGGGCCTGACACGCACGCTACCACAGAAGGCTGATCTTCACACCACGGGCAGAGAAACAACATTCTGCTGTGAGTAGGAGACAGTGTTAATGTGGCCCAGAAGTGGCTTTGACGTGATCACCTGCTTAATGGTTTCCCACTGGTGGGAAACAAAACATTGCACCTTTCTCTACAGGTTCTATCTACCAACTTCAAACTTCAACTTCAAATCTCGTCCTTAAATACAAGCAACCTTTCTTTTTCAAGGAGACTCTAGTCCTGGTTCTCCTTTTATTTTTAAGATATTTTGCTGCCTATCCTCACCGATCCTGAAACAGGACACAGCGTTTCTAAGAACATATGACAAGGGTGCCCTTGCACTCCATTTCCATTTATTCTTTTGGCAGATGCTTTTATCCAAAGATGCAAAGGGTTCAGATACAGTACCAGAAGCATTTCTGATTAAACTCCTATCCTGTAGGAGCTTAACTCTGATGATCTCAGCCAAGCTAATTACATGGTCTCTCGGTATCCCCCAAGAGGCCTTAAAGTCCTGACCAGACCTCAATGAACACACTGCACTCCCAGGGACCTGAACGCTAATGCCACACAGCCTCCCTCCCTGGTCCCTGTTTCCTCTTTCAGCGTACCCTGATTCTGCAGCTCGTCCAGGTCCAAGAACTTGCTGGGTCGGGGGTTGAAGCCCATGGCCGCCTCCTTCTCCTTTTCCTTCTTCCTCTGCAGCTCCTGTTCCCTGGCCCGGCGAGCCACCTCCTCCTGTAGCTCATCCAGCTCGCTGCGGGCCTCCCCTGCTGGACCACACACACAGACAGGACGCTGAGACTGGCAAGCGCCAGCTCCAGCCCACACTGCTGTGCACACCTGCGGGGCCACACACAGCCAGTGCAGGCTGGGAGACCCACGCCACACTTGAGGACACGCCTCCCTCTCAGAGACATCCCTTCAGGTCGGGAGGAACAGCACAAACAAATGGAATATTTTGTCAACACACCCAGAGACCTCGCTGTGTGTTCTTTACTTTTCCCAGAAACTGCACAAAACTGTGAATCTGAGCTTCCATCCTGGCAGGACAGATACGTCTAACTGAAGTTCTTTTACTTCTTCAACCTCCAAAGTGCTGCTCCACATCTGTGCTGTAACAGCATTAACAGGTTCAAATATGATTTATGGGCAAATCATCAGATAAACAAATGACTAATGTTTTCTGTGTCTCTATACCTCAAACAACCTACACAAAGACCTGGGAACAGACTGTTTTGATGAAATGAGCTTGTCTAACTGTCTGATGCTGATTCAAAACGACAGCAGAGCAAACATTTGGACTCAGGAGAGTCAAACAGGCTCTGCCGGGCCCATCTTGTGCCCTGTGTTTTAATTTGCAGGAGGAATGGCACACAAACATACTCTCCAGCGCACACAATTTGCTGAAGGAGTTTACTTATGGCCTTGACCTCATGAGAGCACAAGATATAGGCTGATCATGTCAGACAGCAGGATTTAAAGGAACGCCCATCCTGTGATGTGCTCGGCCTCGATACTGTATGTGCTTACCCAGGCTGGCATGGCTGTTCCTCCAGGGGGGCGTCTTCAGCTCCTGCAGCAAGGCGCTGCTGCTCTTTGATTTGGGCACACTGCGCCAGGATGGGCCTGAGCTTAGGGGCTTTTTTGTACCTGTCTCCCTGTTGGAAAGGGAAATGATAAGGAAATAATGAAACAAGAACTTGCTTTGCAGTCTGCCCAGGATGTGCTCCAGTCCCAAGTTGTCAACCAGCCACACATGTAACTCATCTAAAGCAATAAAGCTATTTGTACAGCAGATGTCATCTACTTACTACAATATTGTGTAATTAAACCGAAGGATATGCAGAGGCTGACATTGCTAATCAGTCCATCAGTTAAGAGCCATCAGACTAGCTCAATCCAAAGCTCTAGGTTTGGGACTGAAATGCAAGACATTAAGCCCCATAGTGTCAGTCTCATCTTCAGATCCCTCGGCTCAGATTAAGCTGTGCTGCTGTGATTGTACACAGGACCTGTCCTGGTGTGGAGCGCCCCAGCACTACTCATGAATGTATACAATTGTCACAATGGCCCACTGTTCCCTGCACCCACTCCCCTCTCAGCGAACCTGTGTGAGGTGGCTATGGAGCCCTCATTCAGGGGCATGTCCAGGCTGACCGGGCTGCTGCTGTTCCTCTCACTGCTCTCGTAGCCACTCTCCATCCTCTGGATGAGCCGGGGCTGGCTGTCCAGGCTCCGCAAGGGAGGGGCAGGAGGGGGTGGTCGAGCAGTGCTGGCCAGGGTCGCCCCAGCCCCTCCTTCTGATGTAGCTGGGGCTGAATCAGTGTGGGCACCACTGTCCTCGGGCAGCGGTGAGGCCCCAAGTTGACTGTACCCAGCCTGCCTGCGGCGCTCTCGGCTGAAGATGCTGTCGATGTTCAGGGCCTCCCGTCTGGGCCGCCAGGCTGGCCTGTAGCGCCCCCCCGAGGAGCTTGACTTGGACCCACTGCTGGTGCTCTCGACTTCCCAGTCCCTTGTCCGTGCACCTGGCTCCACGACCCCTCCCAGTCCTGAGCTGGAAGAGGAGGAGAGGGGCCGGCTGTGGATGATGCTGCTCATCGTCTCTTTGAAGTCCTTCAGCCGACTGGATGAGGGTTTGGGAACTGTGCGTGGAGCCTGCTGCTCCTTCAGAGTCTCTCCTGGAGAGAAATCAAAACAGGGGCAGGGATCAGGGGTCAGACTGCAAGACCACGGCAGGGCTCAGGGGTCAGACTGCAGGACAGCTGCAGGGCTCAGGGGTCGGGGATAGGACTTCAGGACAGCGCCGAGGTCAGGGGTCGGACTGCATGACAGCTCAAGGGGTCAGGGGTCGGACTCAGCCTTGCACCTCTGACATAATGCTACCAGGAATGTGGTATTTGTATAAGAGTAGGAAATCTTTATTTGCCAGGTCACTTGTGAAGCGGACCACCTAGGCTATGACACACTTCTCCCCTCCATGTCACCCATGCCATCTGTCCTAGCCTGGATGGTCTATAGAGAGTACTATAAATTTGAATCAACAAAAATTGTTTTAGGATATACCAATAGCATAATAAATATCAGAAACTATAAGTAAAATGTTTTAATAGGACATCTTGTCATTCAACAATGATCAAGGCGTCATTAGTGAAGCTACAATATTGGGATAACCAGCAAATCCTTTCTAGGCTGTGTTGTGTGAGTATTATTCACAACACAAAACACACACATTGTGCATCATGGGATTCATAAGAAATAAGAATATTTCATAAGTTCATAAGAACAGCCTATTTGTGGTCTTCCCAGGTATGATTGAATCAGGATAGATTTAAACTCTGGCCTGCATTTGTTTTTTAGTGTCTTAAGGAAAAATCTCAAGGAACTGCACAAATAACAGACAAAAGATGAATATGTTACAGGAATGAAACCAAAATAAAACAAACCACAATAATGTTAACAGCCACATTTGGAATTGTTAATGCTCTAACTCAATTAATACCTGTTCCAATGGAAAACTTCCACTAAATTTTAGGTTAAAGAAACTCATCTAGGTCTTTTCATGTAGAGTATATTTTATCACTTTCATCTCCTGATGAATGACTTACAATGGGTTGTTTTCGCTCTGAATTCCTCCTTGCAGAAGGAATATATTAAGCTTTTGCCTCACTTTTCTCACTTTTGTAAAAAAGTCAAGTCATAAATGGGCCTCACACACAAATCTTCAAGGAATCTGTCCAGAGCAAATAAATATTTTTATAAGCAAATTAGGCTGAGTGCCCAAAAACGTAAAAATGCAACCTAAGTCTTAATTATGTCATGTCTGTACAGTTCTGTGCCAGACAGCAATGTGACAACCACCAGTAGCCCCCTGTTGCACTGTGAGAGATCCTGCGCCCCGGGCTGCAGAGATGTGCGTACCCTCGCTGTGGTACCCTGCGGAAGACACCTCATCTCCCTTAGTGGCTCGGCTTCGCTCCTCACACCGCCAAGGACGACTAGAGCTTCGCTTCCTGTTCCCTGCCCCGCCTTTCCTGTCCACAGTCCCGCCTTTCCTCAGTGTGTATCGCTGCACTGGCTCACTGTCCATCATTTGGCCTTAATGACAAGAAACAACAGTTTATAGCCTGCCTACAGCACAGCTAGGACTGCACAGTTGGTGTCTACCAGTGCACGGATATTCAAGATCAGCTGAAACAAGGAAGTGCCATGATAATGGCTTGTGACTACTTCTATTGCTTGTGTCAGTAATCTATGTAAAATGACACTGTTTTAGCTGAGAATGGATGAAGAATGAGTAGACACACTTAATGAAAACAAAAAGGGATCCCTTTGATCTTGGAGACTGTTGTCTCCAGGTAAGACCTAACCGCTTGCTCCACACACCCACTGTTTACAGAAGAGCCTCTTATTCTTCAACTGCAGTTCATGTGCATTTATGCCCCTCAGGGACTGCGGACACCAGAGCACAGTCTCTGGGGACAAGCCCGTGTCTGTGCAGGGGTGTGGAAGCAGGGGTGTGTCTGAATGCTGCAGAGGACAAGTGTGGGATTACCGGTGTCCAGGCTGCTCTGGGAGGCAGTGTCGTTCTCGGGGTTACACACAACAGTGCCCTGGGAGTCAGAGGAGAAGTGGCTGGCCATGGATTCATGATGGGAATGCTTGTACGTGTAGCTGTCAGTGGAGGAGTCAGTGCGAGTGTCACTGGATATTGAGGGCTCCCGGCCTGAGAATGAAAAAAAAAATACCATGATATCAGATATCATGCTCCTCCAATACTACCAAGAACTTTTTAAAAAGCCAGGGTATTGGCTTCAACCACATGACTGGGCAACTCGTTCCACACTCCTATCACCCTTTGTGTAGAGAAGTGCCTCCTGTTCTTGATTTGGCCTTCAAAGACAGAGCTCTGAAATACTACTTGAATGTGTCCCTACTAAAAGTGAAAGCATGCACAAATAGCCACACCTGGTTACAACCCTGAACCTTGCAGGGCTCAATGCAGCAGCTCATGAAGAAGGCCAATACTGTGAGGATATGCAAGTGAAAACTGTGGGGAACCAGCAAAGGTCCACTGTGTTTGAAGCTCTCCATTTATGGCAGGACACCACAGAACAGTAAAGCAGACAAATACTGGAACCTTGAATCTTAAATTCATCAGTTTGCTGTGAATTCATCTGTTACGGTGAAAAAAAAACCTGACGTATTTGTACTCTCTTCCACTATAACATCTTAAACACTTTTGATGTTAAAAAAAAGTCACACCAATAAACTTGTCCAGCTTTAGACACAGGGTGCCAATACCTATAGTATGTCCACAACTGCATATCTGGCTCTGAACGGAAAATAGAGCCAATTTAATAGCAAGTTGTTGTATGGAAAACGGGCTGTCAAACCTAAGCACTCTCTGTGGGAAGGCGCCACTCGCTGGCAGTGAGGCTGCTGGGAAAGGAGAGAGCCCTCAGGTTGTGCCCAGTGCTGTGTTCTAAAAACGTCATGCCATTCACAACACGCATTCACACATGTAAATGTCAGGCCAGGCAGCGAGGGTCAAGGTCCTGCTGGGCCCCCCGCCTCGTACCCGAGTCCTCGCTGTCGTAGTAAGCCTTGCTGTAATGGTGGAGGTCCAGATGAGATGGTAGGTCTTGTGTTGACACGGGTGTCCCTCGGGGGTCAGCGTAGAGCAGTAGCAGGGGCTGGTAGTGGCCCTTGATACACCTGGACACCACGTCCTTCCACTTCGGCCCGATCTGCAAGGACAGGGAGAGATGAGATAGTCAGAACTGGCACACAGACAGGCATGGCATAGAAAATACACTGTGTGCTAATGTCCCACAGCCTACAGTCAACAACTAGTTTCACTCAATAGACCCCCAGTAATTAACTCACACATTTCCAGAACTACTTAGTAACATAAAGGCTTTTAAGAATAAAGGTATTTTACTTAATCTTTATACAGCACCTAAAGCACTTTGTTTAATGAGCCTCTTTCCAGTGCAAACTCTCAGCTGAACACTTAAAAAACTGCTTGCATTGAACTCTAGACCCATTTCAAAAGGGCATTCCAGCAAGACAAATTCTGAGTAGGACATTATTCTGGATCAAACAAAACAAACCTTAAACAGCATACTTCAAAGTCAGAAGTTGTGATAGTGTCTGTATACACCTGATCTAAAATACATAATGTTTTGGGCATGTGCCAGATTTTAAGGTGCTGCTGCTCTGAAACAGCAGCATCACTGTAGGAGATTGCAATAAATACCATCTGGAAACTAGACCTCCCTTTACATAGTGCATCAGTCACTCAGCCTTCAGTGGCAGTGGTATGGCACCTCCACCCCCCTAGACTAACACAGTTTGGCTTTTAGCAGCAAGAGTGTTCTGAGTTCACTAGCTGTGGGCAAGACATCCCCTGACATGCAGCAGGGCAATAAGACATAAAACACCAGCTCAAGTGGAGATCTGAATCCGCACTACTACAATCCAGTCCTGTCCTTCACCCTCCAGCCTCGTCCCAGGCCAGATGGGCTTGGACAGGCGAACAATAGGGGGATTTCCTTGTTTTCCATCTCATTTGTGGCTCACGTGGCAGCTTAGTGGGGAAAAAAGCTGCTTTGCAGGCAGTGAGCTACATCCAGTGCAATGCAAGCATTATCTGAAAGAGCCTCATCAGAATGGCTCAGGCTTGCTCAGCGCAGGTGGCCCTGCAAACTTCAGTCCCTAGCCTGTGCCCCCAAGAAGCACAGATACAGGGCTGACCTTCATTTTCACTGTGGTTTCCATTAGGATCTCTCAGCCACGCTGAGGCCTGGACTGCCTGCGCTTCATACAGTGTCACGGCTGGCTAAATGCCTCTAACATGTTTAGTGTAGCTTCTGAACACACACAGATGCCTCATAATGAGATACTTGACCAAATGAGAGTGGCAGCAAGGGTAATTATACCACACACTGCTCTTGTTTTCATTCGCAAGATGGGGGTGTTTCTCATTTGATAGCTCACATTGGAAAACTAAAAATACCACAGCCAAATGTCTCCAGAGAAAGCACAAAATAATTCCTCTTTTGCCAATGTTTAAAGAGGTCTGTTAACTGTCTCATCCCTAGCAAGGCGGAATTAAATCAGCTCAGTAACAGAAAAGCCTCATGATGAAAACAACGATGTGGAAAAAAGATTTTGCCTTTGGGGTTAAATCTAACTCCACATCACAGTGTATGAGTGCTGATACCTGGGTTTCCAAACAGTGCAAAATGATAAAGATGTTTTTCTTCTAAAACTGTTTGCAGGTAGGCCATTAAATTTAAAACTGGGCAGGTATCCTGGGATAAAGGCCATTAAATATCATTCTAGACAGGTGCCCTGGGAAGGCAGGGACAAGGCTCTGGGTTGCTCTCACCTCTTTGACGTGCGCGTCATCGAAGTACATCCACCTGCGGATCTTGGTCTGGAAGAAGAAGGTGGAGTAGTGCTTGCCATAGTAGCACACCATTCCCACCAGATAGAGCTCGGACTGCTTGGCCTTGTCATCTGTCACTCGGTAGAAGAGCTACAGGAGAGAGAAAAAGAAACCCCTCACATTCCACCTGAAAGATCCATGTTTCCCTACTTCAGCCAACCAGCTGGGCTGGGTCCTCAGCGCTCCAGTTTCTCCAGTATCCCAGTTTTCTCAGAATCAGATGTGAAACATGGACCCCAAGACACAGATGGAAACTAAGGGCCATGCACAAGCGTTTACTTAAACAGAGTTGAGAGAATCTGAAAGAAGCTATCTAGCCATGTTATCAAAGCCAAAACCCCAAAACCACCTAGATAAGACCATTTGGCCAATTAGCATCTTGAGAGCTAGCTGGATCAAATGACCAACTCTCAATTGTAATCCTTCTTGCATACAAAACAATGGGATTGAAATGGACAATTACTTTATGTTAACTGCCTGCAACTGGCTGCATTCACACACAATACAAACTTAATAATAACTTGAAGATAAAAAGAACAAAGTACAGTAGATTAAATAACTGATGGCAAGGGAAATGTGGCTCTATAAAATTTTACTTAGATATATGCAGGGCAGTTCTCCTAAGTATCCTTATGATCAAGTTATAGGCTGGCCAAGCACATGTTTCTCAAGGCACCGTTAATCTAGCAGATACAAGGCCAGAGCAGATCAACCCTCTCCTTTAAGAGTCATTATGGGAACTTAACACTCTGGGTCCTTCTGAAATAAGACTCAAGGAGTAGAAATGATGTTTGTGTGGACCTTCAATGTGTACAAAAAGTGTCAAAAGTCATGAACTGTGTATCTAGTCAGCACTAAACCAGGTGACTCAAAGTCACCCTTTTATGTGCCTGCCATCCAACAAGCAGATCGTTTTCAGGAAGCAAGGATCTGAAAATCTGCATAGCTTTCAAATCTGACAACAGTGAGTGGAAGTGCGATACCCACAATATAACAGGATATTGTTACTGCCTCTCTGGATAAATCAAAGCCCTAATGTGATGTGGAATTAAAGGGACCTATAAACTTGCTGGGCTATATGCCCTTGTACCACTATAGAGCACCACTGGAGAGCAGCAGTGTCTTCTGGTCTACACTTCAATGAAACCCTCCATTTACTGAGCTGCATCCTGTTACTCATCTAGCTGGTTAATTTTAAGGTTTCATAAATGCTTCTTTACGTTTACAAAACCACTACTTTAAAGTAAATGCAGCTTGTTAGCAATCAAATGCAAAATTTCTTAAAACAAAATAAAATGTTATTTCCACTAATTTAAGTGTATTCGGTAATTGAATCTGGAGCCCGGAGCACTGGTGCCTCCTGGGAGCTGTACAGCCCAGCCACCCTCTTCACCTCTATGGCGGCTGTGTGCCGTCAGTGTAAACAAAGACGGATTGTGCTCCTCAGCATCCATGAAGTCTGATGACTCACAATCCTCCTTTTTTCACTCCGTTTCTATATTTACGGCAAACACTGAGTCATGCAGTCTGGGCATCCCCTTCCAAGAAGCTAGAGAGTAACATTTGCATGAGGTGAGGAAACGTACAACAATGACTGCATAGAACTGCAACAGAGTGCTGCCTCCCTGGGACTGAGCTTCCTGGAATGATATCGCCCAGACCGCTGACAGTCCACCTCTGAGGGGACAGTAGAAGGTCCTCAGAGGTGGACTGACAAGGGGGTTGGAGGTCTGTCCTGCTCAGAAGGATGCTCACTCGCTGTCCCTCGGGAATCAAACAGGCCAAGTGTACCTTGAGGAATACCTTCACAGAGGATCGATGACTGATATTTTTGGAGATCTTCAGATCAATCCGTGACTAGCAAGCCAAACAAGCCAGATGGGGCACACAGCCTGCTGTCATTTGTCATGTTATGTTCTTAGGATTATTGTTAATAATAGACCCAACAACCTCTCCCTTTAAACCATCTCCTTAAAAACACCACCCTTGTTTATCTTTTCTGCCAATTCCCAAAAGAGTCCCCTGGGTGGGACACTCTGGAACGATCTCGATTAGAATCCTATCCCACCCCAAACGCCCAACGTGGACTTACATCTCCGAGACGCAGGCACGTGCCCAGACTGTGAATGACGTCTTCTGCCAGGTCGGAGTGGTCCGAGTCCCAGACCAGGCCGATGGTGATGATCTCGGGGGAGTTCATCAGGACACGCCGGATGCGCAGCTTCTCGCCACAGTTACTCTGAGAGACACAGAGGGGCGTCAAGACACCGCTCAGGATGGGAACTGCGCCTCCAAGAGCACCAGCAGCATATATTCCAGAAATGGCCAGCAAGGCCCAAAGCGCAGCACACTCTCTACAACACTTCAGATGTTAAAACCCTGTGGAGAAAAACAGCAAACTGAACCACCAGTTAGTGAGGTGGAGAATTGACCAGCAGTCCCAGAAGTGAATGGGCTCTTTTCCTCTGGAATCTCACCTGCGGTCCTGTGAATGTGATTGCCAGCATGAGTACAGCTGCTCCAACAGTACCATTAATGGATAAGCAAATATCAAGCCACAGAAATGTTTTATTGTGCAATAAGCAAGCACAGGTGTTTGCCTAAATAGGCTTTATGACAAAACTGCATGTGCTTTTTGTAATGAAATGTACCCTACATACGCTCTTTCCCGTAGTGTGGCAAAACCTGACATTTGGAAATTTGACTTCAAGCACAGCCTCCCAGAGGTTCTTTAGATAAAGAGCAAGCAGTGCGGTTAGTTCCTTCTGTTGATGAACAGTGCAGAGAAAACAGAATGCGGGCCGAACCAGAGCTCCATTTTATACTCCATCTCGCTTTGTTCTCACGCACATATACCATCCTCCGTGTATCATCTCACACCTTTGGTCTGAAAACTGTGGGTAACCCATATCACTGTCATCAGGGAAGCACCCAAGTGATTCTATTAGTTACTCTGCATTTTAATTACTGAACAGTACAGTGTGGGGATATAAAATAATAGTATTTATATATTCAGAAAACGTTTGTGAATGCTTTGGAATTACCTGGATTTCTGCATTAATTGCTCAGAAAAATGTGGTGTGATCTTCAGCTAAGTCACAAGACAAACACAATCAGCTTCAAATAATAGCACACAAACAATTTTACTCCTCGTCAATATTGAACACATCGTTTAAGCATTCACAGTCCAGGCTGGAAAAATTATCTGAACCCTTGTATATAGTAATCACATCTTGTCGTAATCGTGGAACTCACAATGTCATGGCAATGCATGCTTGTACTCCTAAAAAGGAAAGATCTGCCAACACATTGTTTGTGTAGAAAACAGGCAGCACTGACGTATGCCATATTTTATAAGGGAGGATTGAAGAAAGATATAAGATGTGAAAAAGGGGTTAACTGATTTCTTTCTGCACAAAAACTTCTTGTGACACAAGACATTCCATCCTTAAGCACCTTTGAGTTATGGCAGGATGGGAGTTAATTTATATGAAATTCCAAGTGCAAGCTAGTGACCCCCTAACAAAGGAAAGATAAAACCGACCATTAAAAGTGTTCAAGGTCTTGGGAAAGTCCAAACACAGGTGCCCCCCCCGTTACCATGGTAACAATTTGCATCAGAAGCGGCTGAAATTCGCTAATAAACTGAAAGTTTTGTACCTATATTTCGAACAGTACTTTGGTCTTATTGTTCCTTGCGTGCAATAAACTCAATTGTTTAAACGTCATCTCGGGGTCCAGCACTTATTTGTCTGTTACAACAGTTTGCTCCAAACATTGCATTGTGCGTTTCTGCCAAACTTTTGTTTCATCCCTTCACAGAACACTGTCCCAGGAGCGTTGTGGAACATCCAGGTGGTCTTTTGCAAACTTGAGACATGCAGCAATGTTTTTATTGGAGAGCAGTGGTTTCCTCCATGGTGTCCTTCCATTAACACCATTCTTGTTCAGTGTTTTTCCTATAGTGGACACATGAACAGAGACTTTGGCAAGTTCAAGAGATTTCTGCAGGTCCTTTGCTATTACCTTAGGGTTCTTTTCCACCTCCTTCAGCATTGCAAACTGTGCTCTAGCCATGATCTTTGCAGGACACCCACTCCTAGGGAGAGTAGCTACAGTACTGAATTTCCTCCATTTGCAGACAATTTGTCTTACTGTGGACTGATGAAGACCCAGGCCTTTAGAAATGGTTTTGAAGCCTTTTCCATCTTAATGCGTCTCTGAAATTCTTCTTCTAAGGTCCTCTGATATTTCTTTAGATCGTGGCATGGTTCACATGAACAGCTCTTTCTTGACTCGGTCAGTAACCAACTGCCTTTCTAATAGGGCAGGGCACCTCCAACCCACACCTCCAATCTCATCTCATTGATTGGAACACCTGACTCCAATTAGCTTTTGGAGAAGTCATTAGCTTAGAGGTTCACATACTTTTTCCAACCTAAACTGTGAATGTTTAAACGATGTGTTCAGTACTGACAAAGAAGTACAATTTTTTGTGTGTTATTAGTTTAAGCAGATGGAGTTTGTCTATTATTGTGACTTAGTTGAAGATCAGACCACATGTTTATGAGTAATTAATGCAGAAATCCAGTTAATTCCAAAGGATTCACAACCTTTTTCTTGAAACTGTATATATAGTTTTTTTTATAGTTTCACTAAGCAAAATGCTTGTTCAGAAATAATGTGACTGGTAATTTATGTGTTCATGCAATAGCTAAGAAAGGGTCATTTTCGACTTGTGTAAATCTCAGGGAACAACTGGGTGTACATGAAGACTTGACGAACAGAACACTTCCCTAGGTGAGGGAGTGCGTGGACATCCTTTCACCTCTATATCCAGCCGATATCTGCACCAATACAGTTACTCCAATCCTCCCCCCTTTTACAACAAATGCTCTCTCTGATCTGTCTTTAAATAATGATGACTCACTCAAAGAATTCTGATTTGCTACATGTATTTCCCTTGTGCACGCGCAATAAATCTGCTTATTACCGAGCAATTTTCAAAAGAAAGCCTTATCCTGACAGCCTGGTAAATGTCAGGGTCAGATGAGCCACAATGAATGAGGCAGATGATAAACCTCCATGCAGTCCACCTAACCACAAGAGAAAGACTGTTTGTTAACAGGGAGCAGGTAAAAGTGCAGTAGAAGCCTCAATGATTCCTTTCCACCTTGAAGTATATAGCCTTAAAGAAAGGTTAAAATAAAAAAAAAAATCATACTTTGTCCTGACAGAATTGGGTCCCTGGTCTCACATCACTACATGGGTAGAAGACTGACCTTGCTTCCCATCATGCACTGCTACCTCAATGCTCGCTCACTACCCTTCCAAGAATCTCTCACACTACGCCACTCCTTGCTTGCCCCTGTGCTGTGTGATAGGTACAGGCTGCACTGATTCAGAATCAAGAACATGTCAGCATGGCTCCCAGAGCACAGTCAAGCAATGCAAACTCTCAGTGCCAACAGCTGGAGCCAACAGAGAGCAATTAATCCCCAGCAGTGACAGCCTGCATAGAGAATCTGCAGAGTGCTGCACCATCTCACAGTTACATAACAGCCACCCAATGGGCTTGTTCAGTGAGACTGTGAAGATTCAGACCTGAGCTACCACGAGCGGGGCCACAAAAATCCTTCTGGAGCTTTCCTTCCAGTCACTCTCCCATCAGGGGACAGCTTGGCAAGGAGAAGGAAGGCAACAAAACAAAAGCTCAGCATAACTGCCGCTGTGACCTTCATTAGAGAGAAAAACTCTCTAGTCTCTTCACAGAACTGGACAGAGTTACACTGGCACAGAATGAGGCCTTCCAAAAAGCTCCGACATGGAAGGGAAGGTGAATTCTCAGCAGTTTCTGTAAACAGAGATGGGTGAAGGCTGTCACAGCACATTGCAGACTCAATAGTAAGAGCAGGAAAAAAAAGAAGCTCAGTTCAGAGAAAATATTACCCTAAGCACATGCTAAAAGAGCACTGGCCCTGCATTTAAAAGATATGGGTTATTTTACTAAAAGAAACTCTTTTATATGATACAACAGGAGTGTCCCTTCTTCACTATATATATATATGGAATAAAGTACCATGGGATTCAGCCAGAGACCTGCTTTTCGTTGCGTCTGCCTGCAATAATTGATAGTGAACTGCTCCAGTTCATCAGGCTGGCTGCCATTCCAAGTTGATAATGTGGGCCATCTTCCCGGTCGACTCTGGGAACCCAGCTCACAGGATAGAGGATGTTTCGCCATGCCACCTAAGCTGTGAGGCAGCATTATTAAGCAGTACTAAGGTGCTGGGAATCCTCACAGCCGCCATTATGCCGCCAAGTTCCCAGGCTGCTAGCCCCTATTCTTAGAGCCCATGATATACAATAGCTTATTTTCTCAGAGTGAAACACTTAATATTCCCCCTGAGCTGTGGAGCTGTACTGAGTGCACCTTTACCGGCATTCTCAGCACATAAATATGCTAGTGTAGACTCACAAGGGCAGTGGCTCCACACCTGCTCACAAGACGCGGTGCACTGTGAACACACTCAAACAGCAGATGGTGAGCTGATGGCCTGATAGCTTCACCACCTCTGTCACAGCAACAGGCTGCTAGCAGCAGTGCTGTCATGTTGTGTTCTGGCAATCTGACCTGGGCAACAGCACTGCTGTTACAAACAGGGCGTCACTGGAAACAACTCACAGAGAGGCTGTGAGCGTTCCTGCAATAATGAGCTGAAACCACAATTCACCTGCCTATCATCTAACTTTCACATGGACATGAAAATCTGAAATTTGTGATGTTGAGCCAACTCTTGGCATTCATATCTGCCGGCAGCAAATGACATTTTTAACAAACTCTTCTTCCTTTAGAAATGTAATCTTGCTCATACATAAGGCCACACACTGAAAAGAGATACTGAAGTGCATTTTCTGATATGTTGGTGCTCCTCAAAACAGATTACTGATGTACTCACGCCTGGAGCCTGAGAAGGTTCCAGATTGACAAAGTTTTGTACTGAATTTCAGAAATACCAGTTTCACACCACGGCTCACTGCTCACCACTCACCGGGCAGTTCCGGAGGTCCCCCATCGTGCTGGCGTTGCGGAGCAGTTCTCCAAACATGTCGGGAGTGGGCTTCTCCCGGCACTCCAACATCCGGATGGCCTGGTTACTGCAGCATACAGATGCAACAACAGGCAGAGGGTTGGAAATGGGCAGCGATACCAAATCTCACAGAAGCTTGTCAGCTCTACTGTACTGTAAACCAAAACTTTTTTTCTCTTTAACCTCTCTCTCATACAAATAAAAGAAAACACACAAACTTCCACAACATGACAATTTTCTCTTTTTTTTTGCTAACTAAACAGTTCTATACACATATAATACCGGTGTGGCTCTGTTACTGATTTTTTTTTATTTACATTTTTTTAAGTTAAAAAGGATACAAAGGCAGGCTCAAGTAAAAAGAAATAGACAGAATTCCGTCAACCGAACCTCTCCCGCACCAACATCATCAGTTTCTTTTTGCCTTTGTCTATTAATCTATTAGCGGTAACAGTCTGCTCTGTGAACAAGAGGTGAAATTCATGACACTTGAAGAAGGCTCCACGGCCGAAACGTTGTGTTTTCTTGTTTCTCATTTCAGCATGGAATAAACCTATTACTTGTTCCTTCATGTAATGCATGCTTAGTCAGATTAGCGCATTTCAAAACAGCCCTTAGAATCCATTTCACGATGAACAATAGGCTGCATATTTTTAGTGCAGCAGATCTGGACTGGTATTCTGATCTTAATTACTACAGTAACTCAATCGTTTTAAGGCCAGATCAGGAAGCACTGCATGTAGAGGAGAGCTGTTGCTCAGACTCTGCTGCAGTGCTGGCCCCGAGAGACCACACTGGTGCCTGCAGCTCATGAAGCACTCTATCCTCAGCGTGACATCTGTATTTCTTTCAGCATCTTTGCACACCTGGCACTTCGGTATGTTTAGCATCATCGGAGACTGCTTCGCTAGTCATGGGCTAGGTTTTTCCAATGAGCTATTTTTCTCTAGAGCCTGATTTTTTACAACAACACTGTACTATATTGTTGCCCCTCTTCCCCATGAAGAGTCACAAACATCAGAAGGGGCTTCAGAATCGTCTCTCCAGAGACTGAGAGGCCTCATGATAGCTGTAATTCCTGCCTCTGAACCCATAGCAGTGTGTATTTATAGATCAGCTCTGGTGCCTTAAGACATCAAATATGCTGCTACATTCCAAGAATTGCTGGATGACACCATGTGCCACACGTCTGATATAACGGGAAATGAATCTGTATTATGCAGCACAGAAGATCTAAAAACTCCTAAACTGGGGATTTTACATAAGTCACATTAAGGCAGACTTGTTGAACAGATTATTTATGGAAATGTTTCTTATGACTGAGACAATGGGAGCCCTGTACACATGGAGACTGGCTTGACTGCCTCAGGAACTCAGATCCTGTCCCAAAGGTTAAGTCAGTTAACCAGTGGCTGTTAAGGCATCTGAAAAGGAATCAACAAATTACAGATGACATAAAGAATTATGTTAGAACAGAAGTGTGCAATTACAGATAAATGAGCTGCAGCCATGCCACAGCATTTTCACTTATACCTAGTGTATTATATAGCTTGCAATCCATATTTTCTATTTATCGCTCTGTCTCTGTTAAAAATGTCAGTGTCTTTGGATACGGTGATATACAGAGGGTGCCAATAAATTCTTGTGCCAGTTAGTTAACATCCATAGGTACTCTAAGGAGTTTATCCAATCCATAGAAAAATAATGTTCATTTTACAGTTTCTTACTTCATCGTGTCCTCTAGATGTGCTCTCTGCATGCAAAGAGCCTGTGGCAGTTCTGTGTCCAAATGAGAATTAGCCTGAGCTGTTAGATAATATCTCGCTCTTGGCACTGGACGCATGGCTGGTCCAGAGCAAGGAGCTGATTCTCTGGGACAGCAGCAGCTCAGCATCCTCACAGGGCTGCTGCTGGAGCAGCTGTCTGTGCATTACGAGGACTCAAGGAAACACACAGTCACCTCCTTTCCAGCACTCATGATCAGTCAAGTGCAGCATGAAGAATGTGTGCTGACATAGAAACAGTGAATTTTATATATATATATCTTACCCGGTATAAAGTAACCTTTAAGATCACATCAACAGTCTGCAAACAAGAGGAGGCCATTTGACCCATCTTGCTCATTTGGTAGTCTAGTGAATTTTAATTTTAATCCTGCCATTTCTGAAAAGATCCCAGGGTTTGAGCCTCAACCGACTGCCTGGGAAACCGGTTCCAAATCCCCACAGCTCTTTGTGTAAAGTAGTATTTGCTATTCTCCATCCTAAATGAAATCTCTGTGGGTTTTCAACTGTGACCTTCTGTCTGTATTGTGCTTATGAATGAGAAATAGACCCCTAGGTTATCTTTATCCCTTAAGGTGCCATATACTGGGATCGGATGTCCTCTCAATCTCCTCTGATCTAGATTGAAGAGTTTTGTCTCCCTTAACCTGTCTGTAAATGACAGTCCCCTGAGAACATGAATCATTCTTGTTGCTCTTCTTTGAACATCTAAAGCTATAAATTATTTTGTGGTACAGTGACCAAAACAAAATACAATAGTCAGAGAGGTCTTATTACTGCATTGTAAACCCTAAGCGTAACTTCCCTCAATTTAATTTCCACACGTTTGCTATACACCCACGCATTGTTTACTTTCCTAATTGGTTCCCCACAGATACATAGATGAATTAGCATAAGCACCATCAACCCTTATGTGCAGCTTCCTGTAACTTAAAATTACCATGTGATGTGTATCTTGTGCATTCCTATTAATGTGGATCTTTCAGCACATGCCCACTCCATGATTTCTCTTGTGGCAGTCACTGTTTGCCACTTCACCTATTTTGCAGCACCTGTATTTTTAACTAGTTCACCAAGCACAACAGAAACTAAACCTGACTGTGAAATTCGCAAAGTCGGCAGTGCGGGGTGTGGTCCCTCCTGCTGGGCACTGTGGAATTGTGATTCCTCCTGCTGAGCACTGTGGAATTGTGATCTTTCCTGCTGAGCACTGTAGAATTTGCAGTGTCGTCAATGAGAGCTGTGATCTCTCCTGCTGGGCACTGTCAAATTCACAGTGTCATCAGTGAAGGCTGTGATCCCTCCTGCTGAGCACTGTAGAATTGTGATCCCTCCTGCTGGGCACTGTGGAATTTGCAGTGTCATCAATGAGAGCTTTGATCCCTCCTGCAGGGCACTGTGGAATTGTGATCCCTCCTGCTGGGCACTGTGGAATTTGCAGTGTCATCAGTGAGGGTTGTGATCCTCCTGCTGGGCACTGTGGAATTGTGATCCCTCCTGCTGGGCCCTGTGAAATTTGCAGTGTCTTCAATGAGGGGTGTGACCCCTCCTGCTGGGCACTGTGGAATTTCGCAGCAGGTCACACAAAAGGCTCTGTCAGGTGGACGCACCTCTGTATGTGGAGAACCTCATTCCTCATGGGAAGTGCAGGGGGTTGTCATCTTTAACAGAGCTCAATAACAACAACTAACAATCCAGGATTATACTAATGTATCTTTCAATTTATTAAACTTTTTCTCTACGTGGTAGTGCATTTGAAACTGTGATCAGGAGGCACTTCACTCAAAGGGTGAATCAGACAAAGCTGTCAAAGCTGACAAACTGGCTTCTTTCAGGAAACAGCTGGATGAATTAGAATTAGAATTCAGGAATAAATTATCTACTTACTATCAAACAGTCTGGATGGGACAAATAACCTACACTGCCTGCACTGAGGGCACAGCAGAAATACTTTGTCGCTGACATTTTAGGAGAGAGTTTTAATATACTGGCATGTAAAAGTAGTTGCAAACAGAGGTCTTTTTAGTGGGCAACACCTGTGGAAGTCGTGCCAACATCTGTACCACTCACCACAGGGAGGTCGTGGAGATATAGTGAACCATCTGGATGAAGGGCAGGGGGTCCGATGTGGCACCACAGCTGTTACAGACACACTGGGGGGAGAAAACAAGCACAGGAGGTCCTCAAAACTCATACTTAGTCAGCAGAAATGAGCAAGAGGGATTTACTGCAGTACCATGGTCATGAACAGAAGCATATTTTAATTGCTCTCTTGTGTGACTGGCGAGAGCTAAATTGTGACACAAGGGTATGGAAGGGGACCCCATTGGTGAGCGGTAACCCAGTGGTTTCTTGGCAGCTGAAATGTTCTGCCCCCTGGGGACTGCATAGGCATCAGCCCGGGCTCTCCTGACAACAGCAGTGCGAGTGAGCAGTCAGACTGCACAGCAGTCCCCATTTTTTAATGACAATCGACTGAACTTCTCAACACCCTGCTTGACCAGATCAGAGCTTCTCCTTCCTCTATGTCACCGGCAGCACTTGAGCTAGTTCACAGGCCCCACCAACTCTCCCAGAAGGTAATTACAGAGCTCCAAAAAAAGGAAAGTCAAGTCACTTGGCCAAATTTCAGACATAACATCCACTGAACTGAAGGGGTGGTAATAGGAGTGTTCATACTGCTGGCCAACAGGATTGTGGCTCATGCACTTTCCTGGTGACACTGCTTAAGCTAGGGGACTCAGAAAAGAACCCACCCAAAGCGGTGGGGCTTCCCAAGGGCAGATATGTCTGTTGACTACAATGTCACTGGGAGTGTTGTCTGCACATCCAGTTAATTTAAGAGTTAATTCCCTTAAAATATACTACACACAACTTCATTATACAACCTTCTATTAAATACTTTGTAAAAAATAGAAGGGAACACACATTCTTTGGATGGGTGGGACCCTGTAAACAATGAAATTATATCTCAGAAGTACAATGGAATGTTCTGATTCTCCCACATTACACATCCGTAGTATAAAATCGGTGTTTTGCTTAAGCATCTGTGTCAGGAACTGTGTGATGCAAAAAACTGTGTCTTTAACCCTGCTGTCTCACCTGCTCAAACAGAGTCATGGCGAACTTCTGGTGGGGGATGCAGTGCTTGGCAGTACATATGTCCTCCTTCGTCTCGTCTGCAATGTGGAAGTGAATCCGCATCAGGATGTTCTCCTGCAGGAACAGTCCCCAAGAACATCCACAGTAGATGACATGGCTGTCTACCCAGTGGAGACACAGCTACAAAGAATTCATTTTTCGCTATCAACATTCACTTCTTTCTGATTAAGACAGATTTGATTTTTCTTCCTTCACAGAACAAGTGTAAAAGAACAAAATCTTGCTACTAAGTCCTGCCATAAATTTCATTTACACCTTCCCCCAAAGCACATGTGAGCTGCAAAAACCTGTGGCTCATAGAAGCTTCACTCCCCCCTGCTTTGTCCCCTTTGAACCTTGTGTGTGCTGTGCATTCCGAGTGAATCAGACAGTAACTGAGCAATGGTAACCCAGAAACACAGGTGAAATTAGGTAATGAACTCAGCCCTGTCGCAGAGACTGCAGACATGGATGGATTCCCAAACCCCCAGGCTGGAGACAGTGGAGTATTTCAGGCCTGTGCTCATTAACAGGAAAAACGTCATCAAACTACCTGACACCACTGGGGATGCCCCATCTTCTCAACAGCTGCCTCAGTCACTGGCACTCCAAAGCAAAAAAAATACTCAATTTTGGGGAAGTGTTAAACTGCACTGAACAGTGTTAATGCCCAGCTACATTTGCAGCTGCCTTGCTCTAGGATACTATGGAGCGGCAGAGCATGGAGTGGGGATCTGAAATTAGAACAAGCCTGCATCTCAAAGCTCTCCTGTGGTTAATAAATGAGCTAGTCAAAAAAAATCCCCCCTAAAGGTTGAGACATTAATGTGTGAACTGAAAAAGAAAGCTACCACAAAGAACTGGTCCTTAACTTGAAAGTCTCCTGAGCTGCAGATCAGTCTGACACACGAAAAGAGGGTGTGTGTGGTTTCAACTCTGAACCACAAATCTCAAAGGGGGTGTGATTAAAAATGATAAAGTGGTGGCCCCCAGCCACAGACATGAAACACCGCAAAGTATGTCCCCAGGGTTCAAGTTGGTAGAGGTCACAGGTGTTAGAGCTCAAGGTGGTAGGTTACCGTACTGTGGGATCCCTGGATCGACACTCACCCTCCTCCTCTGAAACATCAGCATGGCCCTCTAGACAGCCATGCCAGCATATCCCAACTGAGCTCAGGAATTAACAACAGGGTGGTTGGAGTGTAACTGCTCCCTAGACCTAAAAATAACTTTAAGCTTGCTTTTGTCTCAACTCCCTCCATGAAACAGCAAACACAACCTGCTAAAGGGAAAAGAAGCCTAGTATACATGTAGTGCTAACATCCAATTACCATCCTGTCCCGTCCTGTCCCGTTTGCTATAGCAGCCCAGGCGTCTCACAGACACAGCGTCTGCCCCAGCATTTTGCAAACCCGTGCTGTAGGGCACAGCAGAAGTGATATTCAGAGTCCCTGCTATCCTCACTTGCCATGCTACTCAAAGCCCAAGGGATTTGGCTTACCTGTAATTCACAAAAAAAGTATGCTTCTGGATGTATTATTCTGCAACATGGAATATAACAGAAGAACAACATGGGACGTATGCTAAGGTACTTTATATTCTGTCATGTAAGACAGCGTAGAAGAGCTGCAAACTAGTGGAAAAAAATAACTGCCGGAAGGCAGTCAGCATTTCGTTGCTCCCCAGACAGTAGCAACAGCAGTGTGGGAGGGATGGCAGAACTCCAGGTGTGTCGAGTTTTAAGCTGTGCCACGGACCCAAGGGGAGGCCAGCTGTGGGGAGAGGAGGAGAAGGGGAGCTTACGAAGCACTCGGCGGCGTCATCCATGATGCCCAGCTGAAAGCGCTGTTCATCTTGGAAGGTCTTGGCTAGAGCGCTGCGCAGGGCATCGGAAGGCAGCACCTTCTCACTGCTGAACTGGAACTGCGCGAAGATGCTCTGAAACAATGCACAAAACAAATCCATCATGCACAGAGCCCACAGCACGCAGCTCCTCACACACAGAAGGCACACAGACCACAGTCTCTTGGACACAACATGCTGCCAGCCCCAACCAACCAGGCCTAGATCTGGAAGAGAAGCAAATACAACATGTATACATTCATCGGCATGCAGAAGGTGTACCTGTTTCCTTTTAACCAAGAGTGCAGGGGGACCTTATCACTACACACAAACATAAGCATTCAGATACAATAATCCGCTGCTTTATTAGAGATTACTGCAAGATCCCCAAGTAATCATTGTACTAACCCTTCACGTATGATGAGTTCAAGACAGAGTCAGCAATCAATGAGTTATGTGCTTGTTTGGTCTGTTCCTGCTAAAACATGTTAGTGAACTTGATGATGAAGTTGAGCCAGTATCTCCTCTAACTGCAGTCATGCTGGTTGTAAGAATTCACCTGGGTATTAGTCAAGGTCCTGGCGTGTCCCAGTAAATACTCCCAGTAAATTGGCTTATCTCCATTTTACTGTTTTGCTTGCTTAGCCTTTTGTTTTTCTTCACTCACACCTTCGTTTCAAAAATTCCCCAGTGCAGTGGTTCTCAATCCTGGATAATGCCTGTGATGTGTGGTTTTGCTCCAGTCAAGCTACCTAAAAATCATAATTGATTTCAATTTTCTTTTCGAAATCTTTTGTTTTTTTTTTAATTTACTTTCAGCTCTTAAAAATGCTAATGAGATTTGTAATTGATGTGAACTCACTGCCAGGTAGTTACAGGACTGTCCTCATTCAAGTGTGCCAATAAAACAGAGAAATACGATGAATTGGGTTGAGCAGAAGGAAAGGCACTGCCTCACTGTGGGAGCTGTCTGACACAGTGTCATTCTGATCTGTGTCCATTCACCATCAATTGATCAACAAATAATTGAGTTGTTTCATTAGAAAGAAGGAAAAAAATAGGGTACATACAGTTCTGTATACTGAAGTGGTGAGTAAAAAGGCACTTGTTTTTTAAAACAAGGACTGTAAAAAAAGTGATATAGACCTCAGTTAGCACGGTTGAATAAGGTACAAGTTGGTTGTAAAGGTTTATTCCATGCTGAAAAAAAGGCGTCTCTTTTCCATTTCGGCTGTGGAGCCTTTTTCAGGTGTGACAGCAGAAATGTTGCATCTCTTTTCCTTTCAGTGTGGAATAAAGCTTTATTTGTTCCTGTTAAATAAGGGCCTAGTTTTAACCGAAACGAGCGGATACTGGAGTTCTCCAGGACCATGACCGAGAATCACTGACCTATTGTAGGAGACAAGTGATAAGACAACACTTGTTTTGATTTCTCCCTAGAAACATAGTAACTTGAAGTTTAATATTTGATCTAACCAACAAACCTCCCCCTTGCCTAGAGGCATTTGTTTTATAATGGATCATTGAAAAAATGCCTTTACCCCCCTTGAACTCAAAAACCAGCAGGGTTTTTAAATGCACACTGGTTTATGTCTAGAAAGATCTACAGAGCTAAAACAGTTTTGTGCTCTTTGGCTTGATGGCTTTATATAAACCTGAAGTCAATCAGACTGATGGCTCTCTGCCTTATGTAACACAGCTGCGGAGTTAGGGTTATGGATGCTGTCTTCAATAATATATTACTGCTCAAGGTACAATTAGATGAGCCTTGCAACCATTTAAATGGAGCTTCCATTAGCCCTGGGAAGAGATCAAGGCTCCGGCTGTCTTTGATAACTCGTGATTCTGGAGACTCGGCACAATTCAGCCCCCCTTCACCTTGGCTGCAGAACTGGCTAACAGATACAGCCGTGTGTCCACAGAGGAGCAGCTCACCAGTCAGAGACAGTTAAACAGAGATTATAAACAGACTGTGGTAACAGCTCCCTCAAGGGCTTCATTGAATTAATTCCCCTGTACTTCTATATATCTCCATCTGTCTGCACATCACACTATTTATAAATACAGATATGGTGTATAAATCAATATTAATGGCTAATGAGTCCTGGGGAACAGACCAAACGCACTTGAAGAATGTCTTTTAGTGTCAAGTATGGATATAATGCTAAGCGGAAACACTGATTTAATAAATCTTTATCATGTGCACACTGGGGCACCTGTAGGGTTGTGTGAAATCCACTTTTTATTTTTCTTATTTTGATTTTTGGTGTTATAAAAAGACACAAAGAATTCACTTGAAGAAGTGTACTTTGAGCAGGCATATAGGTGTCCTACATTCACTACATTCCCAGTGGTAAAGAGAATGTAGTGGAGGTCATGTGCCATTTGCAGTGTGACAGTGCTGTCTAGTCCTAATCCTGGAGGGATGCTGTTGCTGCACATTTTCCAAACCTTGTTAAGGCAGCAGCACCTGGTCTAGTTAAGCCAGTAACAAGCTGGTTTAGATCTTTAAGAGCCGTGTTGGAAAAGAAAAACCTCACAGTCGCACTGGCCCTCCAGAACCAGGATTGGACACCCTGCATAAAGACAGGGTAAACTGTCACAGCAGATACCTGCCCAAACAGCTCATTAATCAGACCTGACGCAGTCTCGGTTCAGAGGTGTTCAGCAAAGGACCAATTATTACTCTTTCCACACTGGCACAGCGGCTTGGACATGTGGAGCTGATGCTACTGGAACAGTAAATTGCTGGGAGTTTTTTTACACCATCCAAGCAACTGTGACCTCAGCACGTTTTGGTCACAGCTAGTTATGGCCTTTCCACATAGAAACACATTTTCTGTGGGGGCACCTTAAACAGAGAATGCCCAGGAACAGCCTAGGGACAATAGAAGTTTGGAAGAATCACAATGGGCAATTATTCTTGCATTAGGAATTAGTCTTTTCACATACCCCACCTTGATCTCCATGAGACACAGACAGGGAGAGAAGCTTGGGGTCAGAGTGCAGGGTCAGCCATTCTACAGCGCCCCTGGAGCAGCTGGGGTTAATAGCCTTGCTCAGAGGCCCAACAGAGTAGGATTCCTCTGCCGGCCACGGGATTTGAACCAGCAACCTTCCAGCCACCGCTCCGCCCCTGGTTTAGAACAGGAGGCTCAACACCGTGCTGGACAGAGTAAGGTGTTGAGTAAGTGAATAGTAAGGTGTGTTGAAGAAAAAGCAGATGTCTGGCCTAGAAAACCACTTAGGAGATCAGCAACTGCAATTGACTGCACACGGGCAGTTGTGAGCATAAGGGGTTTATGATTGTTATAAATAGCAGAGTGCACTGTAAAACCATTATGTTCATGTCCAGAAATGGCTAAAAGCTACTGATAAAGCAGTGGTTCCTGAAAGGAGAGATTCCAAACAACACAAAACCCCAGACAGACTGCAGGGTGGCTGCTGTGAAGGTAAACCAAGCTCTGCCTGCAGTGCTGAGAGCTGCTCTTTGACAGCAGCTGTATCAGTGCAGCTTCTTCATGACGATGATGAAAGGAGACACCAGTACCAGAGCAACTTCATTAAAAATTGCAGTCCTGTTATGGAGATTCTCTCCATTCAAGAGGAAAGCCTTGATTCAGCCTGCATGCAGTGAGCCTGCCAGATTCATGAGAAGAGGTGTGGGTCTCCCAATGTTTGCAGAATTAAGAATCTTGCACAGTAAATCTGGATTTTCCAAGACAGGCTAAATCTCACACTATGTCCTCATTATTGTACTATTCATGTATTCAAAATGAAGATGATTGAAATCTGGAAAAAAATCCCAAAGAGCAAGAGCACAACAGAATCCAAAACATTTATCAAAGACAACTAAGGCCAGCCATATAAAATGTGCACACAAGAACATTTGCTCTTTCATATGGCTCTTTCGACTCAATGCTTCGCTCCGTCTTCACCAAAACACCAGATCTTCACTAACATCTAGTCACGTCTCATCACTATTCTGTGTCAGTATATAGATAACTCTGTGGATTTTAAATGAAGGGATGTTATGTTGCCAGCAGCCATATCACTCTGCAACTCACAACTGGCAACCCACTGAAGCTAAACAGATGTGAGCCTGGTCAGTACCTGGATGGGGGACCTCCTGGGGAAAACTAAGGTTGCAGCTGGAAGAGGTGTTAGTGGGGCCAGCAGGGGGTGCTCACCCTGCAGTCCATGTGGGTCCTAAAAGCGCTATATAAGTGTAAGCAATTACTATTATTATTATTAAAATTGTGCAATGCACTACTGAGATATCATTAAGAATACTGTGTATAATTTTAGTCATCACATGATAGAAAATCTATTGCAAAGAAAAGCAACCAGATGCTTTCCAGAGCATTCCCTTGAGCCCTTCACCGACACTGAAGGAACTGAATCTTTTTGCAGAGACAACAGAGGGACTGAGTCTGCCCTTGTGGACTTCATCACAATTGACACTCAAACACAAATCAAGAGGACAGAGGTGGAAACTAAGTGCTCTTACAACAAAACAGGATCTTCACTCCTGACTTGACAGCAGGCACTTGTTCTCAAGCTCTCTGCATTTCTACGGAATGCTGCAGATTCTTGTTTTGTTATCATGCACTAAGTCTCTTTAAAGGCATATGTTGCGAGTCAGTGTGCTATAGGTACTCAATATTCTTGCATGTATGGAATGTCATCTCTGCTGTTACGGGTTTGGGTGCAATATTGTTTTAAATCACATTGAACTCAAGCTCAAGCTTTATGTCTTGATCTACAGCTGGGTGCTGTTACTTCTTTTCCATCTGGCTGACTGCAGCTGCCCTCGTACTTTCACTGGAGACCGGAGCTATCTGTTGGGGTGCCTTGTGCCTCTGGACAGGTTTAACTTTGTGTCCTGGACCCTAATGTGTACCAACTTGGATTCCATCATACTGCCTGGTCTTTGGAGCCCAGCAACAACACTTCAGACAGCACAGCCTATTGCTGCCGAGCTTCAGGCTGAAGGCACTGAAATGTCAGCTGCTTCATACTACTCTCGTCTGTGACTCAGTACGAGGCACCGGCTGCACACCCTGGGGGACGCCAGGTCAGACTCACAGAGCCCCGTCCTCAGACGCTGTGCAGATTGCACTGATGGCACGACCAGAGCTTCACAGACCAACATAAGCAAGCAGAATGAAAGCTTATCACACTTTCACAATGTTTCTCGTTGGGAAATTTAAATTCTTCCTGCTGGTCTGTTTAGAATATCCATCTGTTCACTTGCTCGTGTGAACAGCAACACAGGCAGAAAAGCTTTTGACATCCCTGGTGCTACTGCCTTCTATTTGCTTTGCTGCACTAGTGCTTCAAGTAAGCCATCTTGTTTGTCTGGCATAACAGTCCCCTCTATATTCCGAATGCACACAGCTCCAGAGTGTTGACACATTAAAATGAGCAGAACAAACAACAACTACAACTGCAAACAAACACAGGACACAGGATGCAAACATCTGTATTTAGCAGCCTGGACTTTATGGCACTGACTTGTCTATTAGTGTATAGTTTAAGTGTAAACCCATGTCTAAGATACCAATGTCTTGTGTGCACCCACATTGCTGTATGTAGGGCCCTGCAAAATTCCCTTTGGTGATTTTCTGATCCATCACTGTTTTTAAACTATTTAATCTAAACTATTTAATCTTTAAAAAAATCTATCAGCATGTTTGTAGATTTATTGCCCACAGGTGTGGCCCTAATGTGAAAAAAATGGGACCACAGTGGGGTTCTGCGTTACACCTGACTGAAAACTCTAGTTATTTTACTGCTCAAATCCATCTTTAAAATCCAAACATTTGGTCTTGGTACAATTATGAAACTACTCTGCAGATATTAACATAAAAAACGTAGACATTAGGGTTTATCAATCACTGCTACCCAGATTCAAAAGCCAACAAGGGGAGGGGAGATGGGTTAATCCTATCATGACATAATGAAAACATTCCAGAATGGAAGAAATAAAGTGCTGGAAATCCCCCACATCAGGCTCTTGTCGTGGAAAGGCTAACAGTTCTCAGGCCTGTAATCAGTACAGCAGGCCGCATGCATGCCGACAGGCTGATCTAACACTCCCACCCGAACGTCTGCAGCTGAGTGCATGAACAGAGATTTGGATCTTTGAAGGCCCTATCCTTCTTTTTGTACAGGATTTTAATCTTTTATGATGTTTTATCGAGCACAATCTCCCCTCCGTGAACAGCTGTGCAAGGAGAAAGCTGCTGCTCTGCTCACACTGCTTATGCTCTGTGCTCGCAGGATGCATTCAGGTTGGCACCTCCCTCACCAGGAACGAGGGCTTTCCAATACCGGATGGATAGTGACAGGTTTCACTAATAGTGCTTGTGGAGACTATTGTGAGAGACGAAATTTGGAAATCCTCTGAGGATCCTGGAACCCGGCATCTTATTCCGGAGCACACAGCCGTGACTGAGACACCTTCCCCCTTCAATGATCCCTTAGTGGAGCCCAATGGGAGGGACATGGAGTGGAGTGGAGTGGGTAGCCCCCCCCCCCACTCTCCACTCAGCAGGCCACAATCACACTTCCTGTCTCTCGCTAGTGGCATCCTGCAGGGGCAGCAGGGAGGATTTTCAAAAGGAATTTAATTTAAAAAAGGGGCATTGACTTCAGACTACAGAATAATGTAACACTGGCTCTTTAAATAAAACATTCCAAAACAGAGAGAAAGAGGCTAGATTGAAGAAGGTTAAGTAGAGCAGACTTGAAAATGGAGACATACACTAACAGTTGGGACAGTCGGAAAGCTGTTTTCTCCTAATCAGACTGTAAAGCAAAACTGCTGCAGCTCTGTGCCCAGATGCTCAGCCTTGCCAAGCGGCTTGGTAACAGAGTGCAGGATACAAGCAGATCCAGAGCAAGACCTGCAGAGAGAGCAAATTAAACTGGAAGCCCAGAGAGGCCCAGTTTCATAACCAGGGCACTAACGAAGCCTGAGAAACGATGCAGCTCTTAAGACTGCAAGGAGAGAACGAGGGCTTCTGCTGGGAGCAATTTGGAAGGGGCAAGAGGAACAGCTTTGAGCACTGTGTCTCATTTCCCTAGTCTAATCTCCACCAAGAAAGCCACGTCCTGGGAATTTAAAAACCTTGTTGTGGGGGGTCTGAGCAAAGCTGATTGTACCTGCTGAGTTGCCACAATTAGTGATGCTTTTTAATCACATTTTCAAAGAAAGAGCTCAAACGAGAACAGGCAAGACTCCCGTATTAACTGTGATTTAAAACAAAGATTGCAACAGTCATCAGAACAGTGGGCTCATTCTAAGCATAACATGCAGCAACTAGAACTGATGGCAGCAGTGGTGCACAGAGGGAACGAAAACACTCTGCGATACAAATAAACACAGCTTTGCAGCTGGAAAGATTTTGCACTATAACTTCATAACTGTATAGTGCTTAAAACATGAGAAACATCCATTATCCACTCTGAACACCTTAGAAATAGACAATGAATTCCATGAAAACATTTTTGTTCATGGTAAATCAACTGCTAGGACCTTATGGTGTCATTCAACATGTAATACTGCGTGCTTTAAGATTTTAATATGGTTACTCATATAAGTTGGAAATTGAATTTAGAGGGATAACCTTGCTGCCTTTCAAGCTCTAACTACCACATAGGTAACAGTGTCTGTTCTAATGTGTCTGTATTCCAGGGAAAGGGCACATTTTAAAATCTCCAGCTGAAAGGCTTTTGTGAGCTGAGACATTTTATTTAATGATGTTCCTAAGACTCACAAAAAAACTCTAACCAGTTCAAGTAGGAAAGTAGCAGGGTAGAATATTCTACCTGAATATTCACTGAAATCTGCTACTTCAAGCTAATTTGAAACGGAAGGAACAAAATTTCCAGAGCTAATAGAATGTACATTTGTTGGAATTACTGTACTATAAAATTTGAAAAACTTTTATCAGCAATTATTCATGGTTACCCGTATGACACTACACAGGGAACATATTCCATCTGAGAATTAATTTTTAGAATTTGGTTTCCCAAATTTGGTCTTTATCAGAAGGGGTGACATCTGAACACTTGCAGCTGGTTTTACAAATCAGCCTTTGCTAACGTCCCTAATATGACAGATTTTTTTACTTCAACATTCTGGATGGCTATGTTCATGACAGCATGGCAAGGGCAGACAGCAGCGTGCATACAGGCATACAGAAGTAAGAATCAAAAATAATGACTTACTACATTGGCAGACATGGCAAAAGCCAGTCAACTTCCGTGGAAGTTAACAGGCAACTGTCATTGCTGTACATGTCGCTCAGGTGGAGACACTCATATCAAGTAAACGCATATTAATTGAAGGAAGAAAAAAGCTGGCTGAGAGAAGTTTTTGGATCTCATTAGTCTCAAATCATTCAGCACAAAGGAGCCCATTTGAGAGATGCTAAGATGCATCTGTCATCGGCTACATGCAAAGCATTTACATGTATTTAAGCAGGCAGCTGAAAGAGCTTTAAAGAGATGCCCAGACCAGATTCTAATGGCTGCTCCTCATATAAAACAGCCCAAACATCAAGGCCACCAGTCTCTCAGTGTGGCCAGAACAAGCTGCTAAACTAATCCGGTGAACAGGTGAAGAGACTGACCAAGATGCATGACTGGGTACTGTACCTTGAGAGCACAGAAGATGCAGGAGTCCTCCATGCACTTGTGGGAAGTCAATTGGCGGAAGCTCCTGCGAAAAATGTCCAGGTGCCAGAGAACCTGGAGAAACAGAAATGTGCATTTTAAGGGATAGTTTACTACAGAGGGCACCGTTCACATGCACAGGGGCAGGCTCGTCTGTCGGCACTTGTATTTCAACAACTCTTGCTAGGACTGTTAAACAGCAGATGTATACTGTAAAACAATGTATGCACTGACCAATATTGACACTGGGTGCCAGTCTTACATTCACTACTGTTACCAAAAGCCCTTAATGCAGAAAGGGCACTAGTCAGTTTCAACACTAAAAAGGAGAAATTAATTCCAACCTCTGTGCAATCATTGAGAAAATGCTCTGAGCTTCTGGTGAGAACACCCAGCTGGTCTGAATTTCATGTCACCAGATTCATCGGTTGAGTAAATCAGGATGCCGTTTATTCTTTGGCTTTATTAAATTTGAACAAGAGAACTGGACTAATCCGCTCTCCCCTCGACAAACGCATCTAGTACCTGGATCCTTCAAGCAGAACCCTGCACTAACTCACTTGTCTGTCGCGGCTGCAGGATGTCTTCTGGATTCTGAATAATACAACACAATCCAGTCGTCCTGTTCAATCCCTCCTGGCTACAGCTGGCCAATTTCCCCGTAGTGTTCCAATCCCCTCCATAAATATCAGACAGCCCCCGCTCCATTCCCCAGAGCAGGAGTGCTAGATGAACACTTCACTTAATCCCCCCGTGGAAGAATTCAGCGCATCTCTGCGCTACGATCCTCTCAGACATCCCAACTTTAAACAAATCAAAGCCTGAGTGCGCTTGCAGCACGCTGCAGAGGATGTGTGCAGCCTGCCAGGAGAAATGGGTGTTGGAGGACCCAGAGAGAGAGAGAGAGAAAGAGGGGGGGGGCAGGAGACGCAGGGAATGTCATCACTTCCAGGAATTGACACTGGTGCTCCGTGTGAAGATGTGAAGTGACGGCAGAGACAGCCTCACTCACCTGGGCCGGCTCAGGACCCTTGCCATGTTCAAATCAGCCTCCGCTGCAGCACACGTTGGGGGTACACACAACAACCGCCTGAAATTTGGGGGCTCGGGCCTCCTACATATTGCCATGCAGCCCCACCATTGTGTTATTAAAGTAAGTCACACGCATTGCTGTTCAGAGTAGGGTGAGGACTTAATTTCCTGTCCTGCTCCCTAAATGGAAACCGATTTACTCCTTCACCCTTCAGCCAGTAGCAACCCTCTGCTCCGATCTTGATCAGTTCTTTCACTGGGTTCTTTCCCCAGTTTCTCCACTGCCCGAACAGACATACACATCACTGTCATACATAAACAAGCATGGGAGTTAACAAGAAAGCTTTGTAAGGTTTGTAGCTCAACCCAACCCTAATGACTGCCCTGTCCTGCAGAGTATTCTGCCAATTCAAAGGCTGTAAAAGCAGGTTTTACAGGAGACCTATAGTCATGGCATCTGAGAATTGAAAGTAACGGTAAGTAAGACAGTAATTGATTAAACTGAGTCACAAGGAGCCAGGAGTAGTAAAGACCTCTCCACATCAGGAGTGTTGCCACTGTAGCAGATGTTATTTGGCTAGTTTAACAACCACAATACGCAAACCATGCATAGTGCCACAGCTGCAGGCATGCTTCCCATACATACCACAAGACAACGACGGACACACGAGACACCTTAGCTGCAGGAGTACTGGAGAAGTCCACGGTTGTATGAGCAGGCCAATTCTCTTTACTGGCCCCCAGAGGTATTTAGAATTAAAAAATTTATAGGATTTTCCTTGCGGTCAGACTGGCTCATGTGAGCATGTGCACATCTGTCAACAGGTTGTACCTACCCAGTCGCAACTCACAGGTGAAGAAGTGTCACCACAGGGCATGAAAAAGTACAACAGTGCTATCAACAAACAGCTCAACTTTAATCTCATTAAGGTATCACAGAAATGGCAAATCCCAATGATTTAGTCATTGTTCTATGTGCATAAACACAGAGAAATAACCTATTCTATATAGATGTGGGACTTGTTACCATAAACCGGTTACTGGTTATTTTTATAAGGAATTCTGGGACAAACATTAATGCCAAAAGAAGGAAGAGATTCATTGAAAGGTTAATATACAGTCTATACACACTGTGTTGTATAGAGGCCTTAAAATGACTGAAGTCTCAAACTCAAATCCCTTAGCTCCAATAATATATCCAGGCAGACTAATTGGTAATGCAGTAAGAACCATAAGGAAGCTGTCAGCTAGACAAACAGGTTTAAATTTCACAGAAGTTTCATAACTCACACAGAAAGCACTGCCATCTGGGCTGGCCTACAGGAACACCACGGAGAACAAGAATCAAAGGGCTATGCAGACAAAATGTGCATTTAACACAAAACCATTGCAGTTTCTTGTGATTAGATAGCAACGAGGTCAAAACCTAACCACAATACTAAAATAATTAAAACAGAAGCATGCCTCAAACCTAGAACTGATGGAATGATCTGAGTCCATATCAGAACTTGCAAGTCAGTCATCACTTTCCAATCCTGTCTTAAAACTCTAGTGTTTCATTCTGCTTCATTTATGGTGTAAGGTATTCCTGTCTGCTGTTTCACAGTACAGCACCTAGATGATGTACCATGAAAGGCGTTATATAAAAGCTGAGTATTATAGAATGTAATTCTCATCCAGTCAAATGAACAGGTAAGGGGTTTATTCCATGCTGAAAAGAAAAGAAAGGAAACGCAACGTTTCGGCTGTGGAGCCTTCTTCAGGCTATGGGAGTGAGGAACGTCACTGATATGAAAAATCCCATTCCAACAACAATTGACATCTTTCACCCTGAACCATTAACAAACACGTTCTGCAAACAGCTGTCAGGATGCCACTGTCACATCCCAGACTCCAGCAAAGATTTTGAACTGCACACCAGAAAGGACGTGCTGATCATTTCTCAGGATTATGATGCGGTCAGATTATTTTTTTAAATGTCAGTTTGAACAACATTTGGAATTTCAGTTCTGCAGGACTATCATCTGTCAATTTGAGCTTTAAGCACAATCACTAAACCTGAGATCCATACATATCCTAAGATCCTAAGTGGAAATAACCCTGCCTTAGATTTTGTTGCATCATTACAGTCTTCACTCAAAAAAAAAGCATATTTTGACTTTCTGAAGAATTAATATGGACACTCTGATTTTGGATGCGTGTTGGGGAAGAACTGCACTGGGTGCTGATTAAAATAGCATGTGCTTTGGGTAGACACATTCAAACTGATCTGCAGGAACATGCACAAGGAAGCTGAACGCAAAGGCATCGACTGAAGAAGCAACAGGAGAGATCACTCAGCCTAAACCCAGGAGTTCACCCATCACAGAGAAAGAAAAGACCTGTCTGTCAAGATCATGAAAGAGGAGCAACATCAGCGTAGGGGTTTCCTTCTGCTCGCCTCAGTGGACTATCAATCTGCCTTCAGCCACTCCAGAGCCACAGGGGCTACACAGAAGAGCCACGACGAATCCCAGAGCCAGGACTAAGGAAAGAGAAAGTGGCAGGTGACAGATTGTATGCTGGTCTGAGGATTTTTTTTTGTTTTGAATTGGTGATGATTCAGCTTTTGCTGAATCAGAAACAGATTGTTGAAATTGCTAAAATGAGGCGCAGTGCTGACGAGGCAGGCTCGGCACAGCCCCCCCTCCAGGCAGCATGTGGGAGCGAGTAAGGAGACAGTCAGCACAGGGCTGCTGTTTGTTTAACCACACGGCAGCAGCTCAAGAGCCCGACTCCCAGAGCCAGTCTGAACAGCCCCAGCAGCAGCCAGTCAGTTTCGGGTTCTGGTAGAAATGGGCACTTCCTCCAGGTCAGTGAAAACCGGCATTGCTCTAATGATGCCTTGACCAGTATAAACCTGCAGCCTAGCCGCTGAGTCAGTGCGAGCAGCTTGTGGGATAGACTACTCAACTTCTTCAAGTATCTTCTTTTTTGTGTGCAGCTGGAAACCATCTCTACTTGGCCACTATACTGTACTCTAAGCATCCTTCAGTACCTGTTACAAACTGCAGCCTCCCATAAGCAGCCTGCGATGCTATCTTTTCAGACTGTCTGTCTTTGGACAGTCAAAAAGCAAACTTTTGAAAAGACTAGCTACACACACAAGACCTCGATAAAACGTTTTTAAAGACAACTGTTCTGTTCAAGCTGGCTCTGGCCCCTCTTATTGGACTCTGTCTGAGCAGAGTGCAGGTAATTCACTTGGTTAAAGACATGCTCCAGATCCACCAGCAAGATCTCTCCTCCCCTTTTCTTCAGGGAGTCAAAAGGCTGCAAAGATGATTCCATTGTGACTGCGGCAAACACAGTGTGACACACTGTACTTCGAGGCTGTTTTAGAATTTTACTTTTTAATCAGTTTTACATTTCAAAATAACAAGCAAGCACTGCAGTTACCAAGCCTAGGACAGTCAACTGCATCTGCTGGTGTTTCCAGAGAGAGAGATCAATATGAGGAGGCTCTTTCCCCTCTGCATAAGTCTGTTTTCTTTCAGTAGCACAGAAGTTTAGCAGGCCCTCATGCACAGCAAGTGCTCTCCTGCAGCAGTATGAGGTAATGGGGCTGTCTCGATGATTCATTGCTCTCATTACTATAAAGAAGACTAATGACAAAAAAATTGCTTAGCAAAGCCTTTATGCCTGCGATCCAAGTTTGAATTCCCCCACTTTCTATCTGCACAGACAGACGCTTCTCGTTTGTTGTTTTTTTTCGTGTAGGTGTCCCACAGAGATGTGAGCTGCTCTTTGCTAGGAGCTGCCGGGCAGGTGAAATGGAAGGGCACGAGCAGCCGAGTAGCTGTGTGGTCTCCAGGTGTGCGGGGAGAGGGGGCCGCAGACTGTCAGAGCGACTGTCTTTCACTATCCCTGCGCACGCCAGGGCCTGTCACCATCCAGAGGCCTCCTTAGTTCCATTCCCCAACAGGGACTGACGGAGTGATGCTACAGCCAGGTGGCTTGGAGGAGCAGCTGTGGATTACTTTCATTTCTGTCCACTCAGTCGC